ATATATATATATATATGTAATTAGTGTCACAACCCCTGGTATGCCCAAATATGGGAGGAAGCTCACTGCTTCTATTCTCTGTCCTTCGGCTCGTCACAAGAGACCATCCAGACAGAAACCCAATATTTTTTACTGTTGCACAAATATAACATATATATATATTTAGTGTTGCAACCCTGGTATGCCCAAATATGGGAGGAAGCTTACTGCTTCCATTCTCTGTCAGCTCGTCACCAGAGACCATCCAGACAGAAACCCAATATTTTTACTGTTGCCCTTGTTACATTTATGTTTAGTATAATAGAAAATAAGACAAATCATCAAGAGCAAAGGTACATATTTTGCACATATTTGACCAGGAAAAGAACAACTCTTGAAATCCAGAATTTATGTACAATGCATATAAGAGAGCAACTTAGGTGTAGACACTTCATAGAAAAAGATTCCATACTGTTTACTAGTATTAGATTTCATAAATATATTTCTTCCTCTAGTTTTACTGAATTCTTGAGTTTTATTTGCAGCTAACTCCAATTATTTCGGACCCAGAATATCTGCTAGACCAACACATTTTGATTTGCATTAAATCTTCAGACAGTGATGAATCCTACGGTAAGATTTAAAGAAATGTATGCTAATACCCCACACTATTTCAGACAGGTGGATGTCCATATTTTCTTTAAAACCTCCACTGGTGAAGCACCTATAACTTCTGAAGGCAAGCTGTTCCACTGGTTAATTGTCCTCACTGTTAGGAAGTTTCTCCTTAATCCCAGGTTGCTTCTCTCCTTGAGTAGTTTCTATCCATTGTTTCTTGACTTGCCTTCTGGTTCTTTGGAAAATAAGTTGATGTTCTTTGTGGTAGACCCTTAAATACTGGAATACTGCTATAATGTCACTCCTAGTCCTTCTTTTCTCTTTTCTCATCAATCTAACCCATTGCTAACCAATTGCTGTCTGGACTGGAATTTCTGAACATGTCTTAAAAAGCAGGCAGTAGGGGAGATGAGCAGTTTAGGGTGAAATATGGAATCGCTCTACATCTGACCAACATTTAGTACCAGTATCTATCTATCTTCTAACCTCTGAAAAATACCTCTGGGAATTAATCACAACCATCAATACTCCATAAGCTTCTACTGGTATGTGCTGTGCACATTGTTTTGCATTCAGTATAATTCTATGCAAGTCTACTCTCCGAGTCTTAAGGAAGAATGTATAGGATTGCAATATATTCCTGATTGATTAGCGAGCAAAACAAAAACAAAAACAATTGTCCCTTGTTATCTGATAGAAATCAAGTCCCTTACTGTTCTCTAGGTGAAGGCTGTATCGCACTTCGAAGTGGAGCTGCAGAATCCCAAGTCCCTATTCAAACTGTGTTAACACACCATGGAGAAAAGACAGGGATCTTCCAAGGTCAATTCAAGCTACAGACATCCCAAGGGAAACAGAGAGAAAAATTATATGGTAAGCCAGTACTCCAAGCCAGTCATACTTTTGGCCAAGAAGGGCAATTGAAAGAGCTGTTTTTGTTTTTCTAGTAGCTAAAACCAGCCAAAAATGGTTATGTAAGAGAATGGGTTATATACTTGTTTCATAAACTAGTGTTGTTCAATTTCAGACTCCTTCTATGGTGCTGGGAAACTGACCTGGGCTTGTTTAACACACCTGCCTAGTTCAGGATATAAACTTGGCTGCACCAGAAAACTCAATATGGGGCAAGACCCATAAATGTTTGTGAAAGATTGTGAGCATGTAATATTAAGGAAACATCAATGAAAAGATGTTCAGCAAACTGGCAGAGGGAAATGTTTTTATGTTAGCCATTTTAAACTCTAAAAAAACACAAACCTTTTAAAGTGTGGCCATGACATCAGGAATATGTTGGTATGTCATGGAATACACAAGTCCAACCTGGGCCTAATCCAGTAGTTTTAAATAGTTCATGAATATCAATTTCATCAGATTTCCCAACATTTATTCCAATAACAGGGCTTGTTTTCCCAGCAGGAAATTCATCTCCTTAGAAATAGTCTGTGTAGAGCAGGGGTGTCAAACTTGATTTCATTGAGCCCCACATCAGGGTTGTGCTTGACCTTGGGGTGGGATGGGGATGGGGTGGCTGGGGGTGTGGCCCATTCGACCTGTGGTGGCCCTGGTGGTGTTGGGAGAATCCATTGCAGGTGGCTGTGGTGGTCGAAAATAAAACCTGGGGGAGCTGTGTGTGGCCTGACCAGGCTCCGTTTTTGGCCACGACGGCCTCCTGCAGCCCTCTGCCAGCAAAAATGGAGCCCGAAGAGGCCATGCTCAGCCCTCCCGAGCTCCATTTTTACTGGCAGGGGCACTGTGGGCTAGTCCTTCTCTGTATCGAGGGCGGCCCCACGAGCCACTTCTAAGCACCCTGTGGGCCGGATCCAGCCCATGGGCCTTGAGTTTGACACACCTGGTATAGAGCTTAGGTATGGATGACGCTTGTCAGAGTGGTGACATCAGAGTTGTATACTCATTCTATAAAGACTGACAAATAGCAAATATAGGAAAGAAAGAAATTAGAATGATTGAAAAGATCATGCCATTAAATAAAGCATTTTTAGCAATAAAACATTTCTCATTATCAAAACAATGACCTTGGATACATAGAAATTTACAGGATCTAGTTTTAGTCCTTCCCTTCCTGCTTCCAAACAAATGAGAGAAAGGGTGCCATCTGCCTGACTATCTATGATATAGATTTGTAATATGTTTCAATTGTGACACTATGGACAGAAAAAGGTTTGAATACTTAGAAAAATGGTAAATAAAGTTTGAATTATAGAATACTGTACATGGATATATAGTTGATTTTTAGGTATGGGAACAGCAATATATGATAGAAATAAACAATGTATCAAAACAAATCGAATGCACAGTGAAGGAGTCAACATTGACCAGGAAGGAAGAGACATTCTGTAATATCCCCTTGACTGTTCAGTGCATTCTGGATAAATACGCAAGACATGCTTGTGGTGAGGGATTAGAGATATTCAGTACTGGTTAAAGATGAGAAAATATCATACTTTTAACGCAAATTATACCATGTTATTAACTGAAATCCTTAATGATTTGTACTGAATGTTTGTATCCAATAAAAATAAGTATCTGAATTAATGAATTGAAGATTAAATAATTGCAATTAATAGAGAATACACAGTGCATGACTGCAAGTTGCACATACATGGCAAAAAGAAGAGAGAAGAAGTAGATGAATTTGTGCAGCTTAGTAGAATATTTACAGAAAATTAAGATGCTAAAGTGGAAAGTTGTTAAAACATGAAAACAGTGGTGGAAAGCGGGTGGTAATAGATAGTATGTTGCAATGAAATAAGTGAAAATGACTGTGTATAAGAGCATCTTCTTTTGTGAGTGGTGCGGGGGCCTAGTGGTGAAGGCACTTGTGTCTCACTCAGAAGGTTAAGAATTCAATCCTAGGTAGCAGCTGTCATTTCTCTCAGGACACGAAGAGAAAATATCTGCTTCAAACTCCATGTAGGCATCAGGAAAAACATCTAGCCAATAAACACTCAACTCCATCCAGTTGCCCCAACTCTATCCAGTATTAAGAGATTATAGGATGGTAAAAAGAAAAAAATAAACCAAGTTTCTTCTAACATTGTGACATGTTGGGTATGTTATAAAGAAACACACAAGTCTATTTGATGCAGTCAAAATATATTTATGCAAAATATGCAGTTGAATGTGTGTTTGGTAAAACAAGATGAAATAAAAATATGAGTAGATGATGAATGAATGTGGATTGGATACAAAAGTGAAATAGCAAATCTGAAAGAACTGAGGTGGTTTTGCCATGTAAGAAGAATGAAACAAATATTAGTGAAAGAAAAGTAAATGGATCAAGAGCAAAGAAGGATCAAGGAAGATCTTGAATGGAGTTGATGAGATCCTCAAAAAAGAGGTCAAAGTTTAAAGAACAAAAAAGCAATACATGAATTGGTATGCAGATGTGTTAGAAGCAAGTATGCTTTGCAGAGATAGAAAAGATGTAGGTAGCACAGTGATTGGAATTGGTATAAAATAAGAGTTAGTTAGATTTCCATGTATTTTCTTTTATCTCCTGCTTTTAATTTCATTTGCTGACTACTTACTCTTTTTCTGCACCATGCATAATGTTGCTTACCCAAATATGGAACGACCTGTGAGATACTCATGCTTCATCTGAGATGAACAAGAAGTTGCACAGTTGGCAGTGATTAGCATCTGATTTCAAATTGCTTTCTTGCTTACCACTCTCCCAGGCAGCAGTTGGGTCTTGTCAGAGTTTAGTAGTTTTATTTGATCGATAGTATCCCAAATGTATTTTTCTTATTTTCACCGTACAGATCATCTACTATAGTTATTTGGACCTTAAGTTAAATGTATACTTCCTGAATACTTTAGGTTATTTAGTTATGATTATAGCATTATAAAGGTATAAAGATGCACTGATATTTGATTTGGATCTATTTACCTTCAGATTTTGTGAAAATTGAACGAGATGAAACTGCTGGACAAAAATCAATCAGAGGCTTGAGCTGTATAGACCATGCCAAAGAATGGGAACAAATCAACAAGTAGGTTGAAGACAACTAATTGTCTATATGCAAACATGATTGATACACTAAAACAGGGGTGTCATAAACATCCTCATGGCAACATCACATGACGTATCAGGACTTTTTTCCCTTTCACTAAACCGGGTGTGGGCATGGCCAGCATGCTGTATCTGGATCATGGGCCAGGACTTTGACAGCCCTGTACTACATCTATATTGCACTATAGAATGCAATTGCATTACAGATTGCACTACAGTTTAATATTTTTCAAAATATTAGTATCTCACTCTTTCTCCATTCATAACCTTGGGTTTCACTATAGATGTAGTCTGTAATGCGATATACTATAGACGTAGTGCAGTATAGAGAAGTAAAGAACTAAGAAAGTTGGCTCCATGGACCGTTACCTGGCAGATAATAAAAATATAATGAAAAATGTCAAATATTTTTCTAAGTAAACCCAAGGTTATGATTGTAGAAAAAGATACTGATATTTGTAAAAACATTATACCCAAAATAATATTTATAGTATGTTTTAATGTGATCCATGACATACCAATAATCTAGGATCATTTTGATTGTTGATATACTACGTAGATAGTACAACGCTAATTTTTCCATGTTGATCCCAGAACATTAATCATCTTTAATCATAGTGTTTTTGTAACTGCTATATCCCACATCTCTGTGACCTCAATTCAGCAATTTCAATGTTCATCTTCCAGTTTTTAGCAGTTGTTTGTCTCACAGCTGTCAACAAGAATAGTAGTATTTCTTTACATAATATGTTATCATTCTCACCTCATTTAACACTAATTATAAGAGAACATAATTTTTTGTTCTGTAATCATGTATTCCTTAAAGACATAGCATCACAGCCATCTATTAACTTTACGTTCTCACCAGAAATGATAGAATCTGTCAGATTCTCTCAAACATATGGGGTTGATTTCTTTGTAAATATAGTTTATAGTCTATAGTTATAGCCTTAGCTATGAGTTTTAACAGAATTCTCTTCCATTTTAAATGAAAGTATTTTTAATTCCCAAACAGCATCCCATTCTCCTCCTCCTTCTAAATCTTTTTTTATGTTTATTTAGTGCCACTTAATCCAGTTTTCAGCAATAGTATTTGAATGATGGTTTAAAATGTTGCAAAAGGCTGGACTGATCCATATTCAGATTCGCCCCATCTAGGAAGTTCCGTTGGTAATTTTGCCTTGAGCTCCTGGAGGAAATGCAAGATATTAATATAACAAATATGTACTGTACTAATAAATATAATTCTTTATTGGCCAAGTGTGATTGAACACACAGGGAATTTGTCTTTGGTGCATATGTTCTTAGTGTACAGCAGGAAAATTAAAATATATTTATCAAGAATCATAAGATACAACACTTAGTGATAATCATAGGTTACTAATAAGCAACCAAATCATACCAGGAAACAAATAAAACAATATAAATTGTAAATATATATAGTCATAAGTGAGAAGAGATAGGTACTAGCAAGGATGAGAAGAATAATAGTAATACAGTCTTAGTTATAATTTGACCATGTTGTGGAAATTAGTTGCTTAGCAGAGTGATGGCATTCGGGATAAAACTGTCCTTTTATCTAGTTGCTCTAGTGTGCAGTGCCCTATAGCACATTTTGAGGGCAGAAGTTGAAACAATTTATGTCCAGGATGTGAGGGGTCTGTAGATATTTTCACAGCCCTCTTTTTGACTTGTGCAGTATACAGGTCCTCAATGGAAGGCAGATTGGTAGCAATTGTTTTTTTTCTGCACTTCAATCCGTTGAAGTCTGTGTCTGTCTTGTTTGGTTGAGTCAAACCACACAGTTATAGAGGTGCAGGTGACAGACTCAATAATTCCTCTATTGAACTGAATCACCAGCTCTTTGGGCAGTTTGAGCTTTCTGAGTTGGCACAGAAAGGACATGCTTTTTTGATGATGTTTTTGATGTTAGGTGACCATTTTAAGTCTTGAGATATGATAGAACCTAGAAACTTAAAAATTGAACATATATTTAGACATACTTGAGGCTATTCTTGTAAATTGCCAAGGTTGTAAGACTTCTAATTGTTTCATTGTTCACTGATGTTTTAAAAAGGCAATATGAAAATATTCTCGTGCAGAAAATTCAAAATCCTCTAACCTGTATTTTCTCTGAAAGGGTTACTATTTCTAGCAGGAGGCCCACTCATTTGGTAGCCAAAGAAGCAGCCGCCATTGCTCGGTTTCGTGGAACTGCAGTAACTCTTGATGAGCCTTGCAGAGATGATATTGGACGGTAAGCACAGAATTTCACTTTTGAGGAAGCCTCATTGTGTATTTACACTTGTGTGGCTTCTTCTCACATGATGATGGGATTCATTTCTGTTATCTTAATCATGAGATTTCTGTTTAAGGCATAATGCTTCAAAGGAAGGAAGGCTTAGCTCTTCTCTCTCCAGATGTAATCCCATAATGTCAATTACTTCTTCAAGCAAAAATGCAAGGAAATGTTTTCTTTGCTAGATTGGCTGTATTTACTGTATAACCAATAATCTGAAGACAAATGAGATGTTTTGCTTCACTATTGAAGAGAGAACAGTATTTTTTAAAAAAATAAACTTGAAAGCTGTTCTAAATTATTTGTGGACACATATAGTAAGACTTTAGTTTTTGACTACTGGCTTTATTTTTTCTTTTGGTGACTTCAATTTCAAAATTTACAGTTGGCCTGGCTTTAATTACAGCTGGCACTGTAACATTTTACATATTCTATATGGGTTATTTTTAGCAGAAAGGTCAGTTTTTTTTTAATCCTGTGTGCTTTCAAATGGCTTCTATCAAAAACATTTATCTTCTGAATGGATTTTTTTTTAATAGTAAGAAAAATAATGGGAAAAGTGGGAAAATACAGGATGGTTGAAAATAAAATATATTGTAATCTGGATTTTTGCAATAATTCTATGAGTTAGGCAGGACACTTATATAATACATCTGAAGGCACTTATATGAGCTCTTATTGAAAAAACTACATAGCTCTTATTGAAAAAACTACTTATATGAGCTCTTATTGAAAAAACTACATAGTATAAAAATAGAGGGTTATTTTAAAATGGAAGAAAATTAATTAAGTGAACAGATAGCATAATATTTGAATAAGACATAATCTTGCTCCTAGTTTTCATCTTATCCACTTTATGGCTGAACTGTCAGCAAAAGTTAAAATTTATAATATGAATGTATTTTTGCTCTACCTGTGTAAGTTGAGGACTATAGGTAGTCCCAAAAATTTCCATTGCTAAGCAAGACAGTTTTTAGGGGAGTTCTGCCCCATTTTACAACCTTTCTCACCCCAGTTTTTTAAGTAGATCACTGCTGTTAAGTTAATAACAAGTTTGTTAAGTGATTAAGTGCTTCAAAGCCCTTTTACAGAGGCAACACACTAAGAAGATTTTTTTTCTTGTGTTTGCACAGGATGTGCAGGTTGGGAAGACTCTGATGTACTTTATTGTCTTCAAAGAAAGGCATGTGTAGACCATGTTGTAATAATCCAACTATGTGGTGAGAAAGAAATTAGTTGCTATTTTCAGGTATTAGGATTGCAACTTGTAAACCAGCCAAAGCTAAACAGGGGCTGCAAGTTCAGGAGGATCACCTAATCATAGGTATTCTCCTCCTTTGAAAAGCCTTGATGTTTATGAGAAAACATCATTTCCATCTTGCTGGATTACAGAACCCAAACTGATCTCTCCCAAAGATTTCATATAGATGTTAAAAATATGGGAGAGAGAAATGATCAGTGTGGTTCCCCTGCACTGGAGCAATCATCATCATCAGAGTAATACCACAGTAGGTGAGTGTCAGAGGTTTCCAGGAAGGGTGTACTCTCCAGTTCAGATTCTGATACTCTCTAATTAGATTCTGATGATCATCTACTTTTGTGACTATTGCTCTTCTGTCCCATGTCTGGGCCTAAGAACTTAATCAAAGGAATCCAATAATCCTGTTCTAGAATTCTTGTGTTGAGACCCACAGAGATGACCTTAGATAAACTATGCAGTGATTGTCTGTAAAACATGTTTTAAGCCTAAGAAATGGAAAAAGTGTTAAAAAGAAGAATAAATTGACTTTGCCTTAACTCCTCCAAAGTCTCCAGAATAATTATACATTCTAACATACTAATTCATTCCTCCTCTCTTAATTTTTTCTTCAGGAACACAGTGCCCCCAGAGATCAACACTGGCACCTACTTACGGATGGCTTCTGCCTCTCAACCATTCACTACAACAACCCAGTTTAAGCAGATCCCTTCACCAGATCAACAACCTACCCTTTGGAATTACGATCCACAGCCAAAAGATAATACTCCACTATTGGGATTAGAATCTCCTACTACACCTTCCACTCTGTCTCCTGTATCTCCAAGACTTTCTGCTCCTTTTGCAACTAATCAAAAAGATCAACTGTAAGTTTTATACCCCTTTGGTCTAAATTTAGACCACTGAGATAACCTAGATTTCCCATATTTTGCTTTTCCTTTAGCGGACCATTCAATAAATCATATTATTTCTAGACTTCAGGTAACAGGATTATCTAACAGGACAACCATAGTCACTGCTATTTTATAAACTCCAGTATTTCTATTTTTCTGCTTAATCAATATTTTATTTTCATATGCATTCACCATCATTTTGAATCTTTCCTTGGCCAGTGCCAGGCACTGTGCTGCCAAAGATAAAATCATGCCAAATCCATTCAACTGAAGGTGCATAAAACTCAAGGCAAATCAAATTATTTTTGAACATAGAATTTATAAACCCATGTGCCTCTCTTCCCTTTCCAACAATATAGAACAATAATAAATAGAAAAAATAATTAATTGATATAACCTTTTCAAAACATTCCCAAACTTTGTATAATGGTTATATAACCTTCCTTTTTCTCTTAATTTACTAACCTCGGCAGGTACAGTGAGGTGAGGAAAAGCATGATAGAACCATTGCTGCAAGATGAAGCATATTCAAAACCAGAAATGTTTGATAATCCTCTCTATGACTTCACAAAATCCAAGGACAAGCTTCCAATTAAGAGAGAACAGGAGTTGTTTAAGGTCTCCCGGAAAGAACTCCCAACCATTCCTGATCAAAACTTTCCTTTTACCAAGCTACAAGAGACCGATGGCAACAAACCTTGCAAGCAACAATCTTCCCCACCTTTCTTTCTCCCCACACATAGATTTCGTTCTTATACCTGTTCTAATCAATCTGAGGAAAACAGTTCAGTGAAGGAAAAGATTCAAAACAAGCAGAAGCCTTGTTCCAATTTAGATCCTTCTCTGCCAACTTTCAAGAATCCCATTAAATTAACAAGATCTGAAGTAGTGCAGAATAAACCACCACTTCCATCTAAAAGCCAGGTGGTGCTTGATATGCAGCACATCAAGGGCCGAGATTATCGAGAAAGCTCAGAACTTCCATCTCAAAGGAAACACCAAAATGAGGATGGGACTTTTGGCAGAGCAGCTGTGCCGGTAAGTTTAATATAGCATATACATTTGGAAACAGGAAACAGTTCTTCAGAATTTTAGAAATGGGTTATGTCCTTTTTCAGCCCAATCTGGAAATGCTAATGATTGAGTATGGAAGCTTTTGTATACCAAGTATATATGTGGTGATTGAGTAACCAAGTCTATTTCAGTGTTGTTATAATGTATAATTATACATGTTTTTATATAAAATGGGAGGCAGATTAAGGAAGCCATAGATGGTACCAAAGCTTTCTCTGGAACCATACAACTATTCCAGTAATAATTTGCTCGAATCCAATCAAGGAAAAAGTTGCCACAAATTTTTGAGGAGATAATTTGAAATAGTGGCAGTAGTAGGACAATTTACTGTGGGATATTTTTGTTTCTTTTTGTAAACTAAGCAAATAGCACTCAGTTTTCTGCTGGTCAGCATCTGACCTATCATTAACTCGTGTAAATTAATATGCTAAATCAGGTGATCATAACACTACTTCATAATCTTTAAATATCTCTAAGTTTAATGGAGATACTACTGCCTTTTGCAATGTAGACCACAAGTGTACTTTTTTGCACACTTAAAACAGATATACAGACAATTAAGTACTGTTTGTTAATTGAGGAGAGTGATATGGCTGAAATAAAAGTATCTCCCCGTGAACTGACAGAGACAAGGAAGTTAAATGTGTGTTGCCTAATTCCTGAGCAATGTAACTTTTCATTGATTATTCTGTCATAAGGATGGATGTTATTCTTGTCTTTCTAGTGAAAGAAACTATCACTGATGAAAAACCCAGATGAATCCTGAAAAGAAATAGCACGAACATTTCTCAGAATATCCTTTGACTAGGTACACAAGCCGTTGAATGTTTAAAGAAGAATAAATCTTTCTGCCTTTCTCGTTATGGAAGTACACATTATGAAACATAAGGTAAAATTAATTAAGACCAAAATTGATTTCAAAAGACTGAGATGAATGAGTGCTATAAAGCTTAAAACTGTCAATTCCTTCAAGGGCAAGAAAGTTGTGAAGAATTATGGGATTTGGAAATTATATGAGTTGGATGCATGTGAAGGTATTATTCAGATTACTATGGTATTTTTCAGATTAAGACAAATATATATTTTTAGATAATGGCCCAGTTTCCTAAATATTATTACCTGGTGGTTTATTGAGGGGCAATAAAAACCAAAAATGTATAATTTCTGACCATGCACAAAATGCTAACTTGGTTCTTTAAGAGAACACAGTGAGTATGAATTTTCAGCCACTATAAAATTTCCTTTGGACCATAATGATTGCCTTATTTTCCAGATAATTCCTTATTTTTTATTTATAATGTGAATAAAGAACAGTACACATGAGGAACTGAAACCTTCCAGAAAGATTTAAGAGTGTGTGTGTGTGTGTTGTGTGTTTTTTGTGTGTGTGGGCGGGGGGGGGGTGTCTTGTAGTTTGCTTTATATAGTATACATATTCAATTTATATTGACTTCATTATAATATCACTTTGGCAATTACTTGAGTCAAAATATAATAAAAACAATCTCTCTTATCCTGGTTTAAGCAGATAAACATATTTGAGCTTAATTACAATTAGATTTTGATGGTGAGTCTAATGAATAATCTATTCTTCTTTTAAAATAAGTTTCCATTCTGGTGCAAAATGTGATAGAATCTGGAATAGTTTCTAAATTAACAACTTGGCAATGTTTATTTTAAGGAATTTCAATAACTACACATAGAATTCTTTTTGCCTAGTGCACAACAGTGGCAGTCTATCCAATTTCAGCATGTTGTAATTATTCAGGCTCATGTGTCTTAACCTCTTCAAAGGAGGCTAAAATGCTATCATTTTTATGGAATCTTTTAAAATTAAATTGGAAATATATCAGAGGTTTAAAAACAACTTTGAAGTAGAAATTATTGATATTTCTGACTGATGGAAAAAAGTATTGGGATATCAGGTCATGGAATATCATTGCCTGCAAGTCTTAAAGTTGAAATTAAAATTAATTCATGAAGAAGTTTATTCCAAGTATATTAGCCACCTCAAGAATGTATCAAAAGAATGGACTGTATCTCTGTTGGCAATGTAATATATTTGGCTGTGGCAAGTTCTGGTTTCTTTTTGGAGTAATAATATGTATTAGTAGATGGACGAATAAATTGGTTATATCAAATGTGTGGAATAGCCCAGAGATTTATACAGAGGGACAAGAAAACTCCTATTATCTGGATATCACAGACTGGATTCAAGAAATGTATCACATTTTAAAAGAATATTTTTATATACCAATTAAGACACAATATGTTTCTATGTTATAGATTTCATAATATTTTGCTAAAGTAGACACGCTTCTATGTGTAATTTGATATATTGTTATTAAATGAATATGTCATCCATTTAGGTGATTTATATTAAATTAGTATGTTAACTTGTTTCTTTTTTTCTTTTATTTTAGTATTATAACTTAATAACTAATTTGTTGGATTTGTGTACATTAATGTCTTCCTCTTAATTGGTTTTGTATATATATATTAAACTGCAACAACATAATTAAAATTATTTCTAAAGTTGTATTATCTTATTGACCACAATGATTATTGATTTTTATTTTTGTATCCATCTGAGACTTTAGGTAAAAAACTTTGCAATAAAATTATGCAGTGAATAGTGTTTTTGATTTTCTGTGCTCATTGCTAATTTTAAAAAAAGCAGCAAAAGAAGCAAGTTATTATGATTGGCCACTGCAGATTGTTTAAGGTTATTAAATAACATGTTGACATCCTCATCTCTGATTGCTACTGTTCAATAGATTTATATGAACTAAGTTCCATTTGCCTTCTGTTATCTGTTATGTTTCCATGACTTGAAGAAATTTGAAGGAGACATTTTATGCTGCTGAACGGAGCTATAAACAAAGTGCCTGGTGAAACTTCATTGGTGGAAGGTAGCAAATGCCAGCCTGTTGTACTAGGGTCAATTTATTTTCTCACATTGCTCCAGAACATAATTAAAGAAGAGTAAATGGGGAAAGGCTGTGCAGATTTTTTTTTTAAAGGCCCCATTGACAGAGTAAGTAGCAGTGCTGGTACTCAGGAATTTTTAAGATTCCTTCATGCAAAAAGTTTACTGAAACAAAGCAATTTGGGTCTAGGCAATGCCTGATTTTACAAACTCTTGATTTTATGGATGTTGATCCAGTAAATATTGGAAATAACAAGACAAAAATCTGGATTTCAGGCAATAATGAACTTCATCCCAAACAATAGCAATAGCAATAGCAGTAGACTTATATACCGCTTCATAGGGCTTTCAGCCCTCTCTAAGCGGTTTACAGAGAGTCAGCATATTGCCCCCAACAATCTGGGTCCTCATTTTACCCACCTCGGAAGGATGGAAGGCTGAGTCAACCCTGAGCCGGTGAGATTTGAACCGCTGAACTGCTGATCTAGCAGTAGCCTGCAGTGCTGCATTTAACCACTGCGCCACCTTGGCTCTAGAATTTTCATTGTGTGTTGAAATTATCCAATGTTTTACTATACTTTCTGTTTATCAGTGTTTCTCTGCACATAATAGTTGTTGCTTTTAGGTACTATTTCATCCTTTTTCCTTATAATAATGTTTTGGGATTCAATATTTATAAATACTGTACTTAATGAGCCATGGCTTGAAGGGGAGGGAGTAAAAAGAAAAAAAGTGTAGATGGCAGGATAATGGAGTACCAATGCTCTTCCCTGGCTTTGATCAGATTTGCCCCAGGTGATATTCCTATAGCGCTCCAGACACCCTAACCCTAGCCCAACAGATCCCTTGGAAACCCATTGGATTTGCTGGTTACTTGAAGAGTCCAATCAAATGGCCCTCCCTTCATAGAGTGATACCAGTGACCTGGAAGGCAATCTGAATATGACCTGACAATTATGGGAAAAGGTGGTTGATTTTAGATAGAACGCTGATCTGATTCAACTGGAGCTGCTCTTATCTTCAAACTGAGGTTCTGTATCTGCAAAACCATATCTATGAAGGGAAAGTCCTACTGAGATATTATTGTTTTACAAAAGGACTGATCTGATATAATTGTCAGAGTTTTACAACTCCCTATGTGTGTTACATATTAATAATAACAATGTGTTTTGTTTTACGTAATTTCATTTATCTGAATCAAGGATCAGAATATACTGAAATTGTATACCAGGACAGAGAATATAAGGACCATTGCAATTCTTGATTTAGAAAGATTATCTCCAACTGAGAGAACATTCTTTCTGAGAATCAGATATGTTAATTTTTTCACCTAATTAATCCTAGCCACTTTCCATTGAATTACTGTGAAGACTGAAAAGCAGCTTGTTTCCCACAGATAGATTTCCCAACTTCTCAGATCTAAAAATAGCCATGTTCTTTTAGTGTGTTAAATTTCCATGGAGATCCAGCTGTCATGAACGCTTAATGGTTTTAGCTACAATTTGTAACATACAGAATAATGTTTTAAAAGCGTGGTTGCTTCTCTCTACCACTACCCCAGTTCTAACTATACAGCCTATCTTGCCATTCCCATTCTAAGATTTAACTAGAACAGCTAGATTTAGCTAGATTTTAAATCATATTAACAGAGTATAACAGAGTATATAACAGGGGCTCAGTGGCTAAGACCCTGAGCTTGTCGATCAGAAAGGTCGGCAGTTCGAATTCCTAGCACCGCGTAATGGAGTGAGCTCCCGTTACTTGTCCCAGCTTCTGCCAACCTAGCCATTCAAAAGCATGTAAACATGCAAGTAGAAAAATAGGAACCACCTTTGACGGGAAGGTAACAGTGTTCCGTGTGCCTTCGGCATTTAGTCATGTCGGCCACATAACCAGAGACGTCTTTGGACAGCGCTGGCTCTTCAGTTTTGAAATGGAGATGAGCACCGCCCCCTAGAATTGGGAACGACTAGCACATATGTGCGAGGGGAACCATTACCTTTACCTTTAACCATCTTTGTTGAAAAGCAATATGATTTTACAATCATGGTTTTACTATGAATTCTAAACAATTGGAATACAAAGGTAAGTTGTAAAACTGAATATACCTCTTTCCTAAAATAACGTTTCCACCCAGACTTACCTACTAAGGTTTCTTACAGGCAGCTCTGTGGTGCAGATTTGGAAACATAGAAGGGATTTTGAATGTAGGTGAAAATGCTAGCTTCCAATACAGCACTGCATCCAGGGATAAACACCCACCATACTTAATTATGGAAAAGTAAAAATTATACAGTAAGAATTCTGATTATGTATACTACACAGCCCACTCCAACTTGTTCATAATAATGTTTGATGCAAAGGTAGCTTTTATTGCAGGAATGAATTATGTGGGCGTCCACATGATTCTGAAATTCAGTGATTAATAGCTATAGTTGCGTAATGCAAAGCATTATGAAGAAATATTTCTCAGGATGCATTAATGCAAATGAAGTATTTCTCTTTGGGATCTTAAATCAGTTGTGTATTTTGTATGTCATGCATTAGTAATTGAAAACAATGCCAACTGGTTTGAAGGCCAGGCAACCTATGAACTGCACCTAGGGAACCTATGAATTCCACTTGCCAGCTTGTTCCTTTCTTGGGAATGCATATGAAAAAATTGAGGACAGCCTTCAAACCAGCTACACACAAATTTTCAGAGATGTTCATAGAGTATAGTCAGAAACTCAAGATGGCAGCCACAATAGTGCAAACAAACAACATACAATATGAAACTTCTCTCTCTCTGCCTTACACACTGGTGGGTTCCTACTGGTTCAGCCGAACTGGTAGTAGTATAACGGCCTGGGTCACTGGAACTAGCAGCAATCCAGGCCTGCCACACTCCCGAACCGGTTCCCCAGTCACCGCTGTCACCATTTTGTTTTTCACTTCTGTACATGCGCAGAACAATTTCTATTGCATTGCACATACACGCACAGCAAGTATCCAGCATGTGCATGAGTGCAAAGCACACGTACAAATGAACCAGCAATAGTGCTGGCCAGAACCCAACCCCTGGCACTATCATTACGTCTTTGACCACATCTTGTGGGCATCTCTGCAAGTATTACAATTGTTTAGT